TTATAAAACCTTCACTTCGATATTTATAAGACAAAGAATTTGTATTCGTGCTATAAATAAAAACGACAAAATTACCTTTATTCTGCAACTCTGGATAGCGACAGGTAACGATGACGCTGTACCACCTGCTGATCTCATCTGAAAGAACGTTGCTAGGCAAAGTGAATCGGCTCTGCTTCCTGCAGGCAGACAACCACACGTTCTGCAGGTCGGTTGACGTACGTTGATCAGCGAGCACTATAATTAGAGAAAAATAAACAATAAAGAGAAACCTTCTGTCAATGGCTTTTGGAATTTTGCGAAAAACCAAAAGCGACTTCTACCTTGGGTAATCTTTGGTAGCTGAGGAGCTGACTCTATAAGACGTTTGAGGTGCGCCAAGATAACCGTCTCCGACAACAGTTTCACAATCGACATGCGTTCACGATAACGAAGGGGGCCGTGCCTGACGAGCTTCTAAAACTGGATAATATTCTGTAGCATTAACGAGCGAGTTTAGTCAATACAGCCGGTGCGTCGCACAATAATGGTCTAAGCAGTGTTAAGCAGAAACAAAGAACAATTACATAGGTTACACCTTCGCTGACTATCACATTGAATAAGCAGGTATCACTGTTCAAGGCAAACTCCAACCTTAAGAGGCATTTGTACCAGACAGCATGGCCGTACCTCTATCTCAGTGCGTTATGACCGCAATAGTACATTATGCAGCGTCAGTTATTTGCTACGCGTTTGTCGGCTGGTTGCACCCATACAAACGTGCGCAAAACTTTTTGCTCAAAGGAATTAACAGTCAAACTAAGTTTATCCATCATACGCAGTCGAGCCCGAAACCTTCGGAGTTCGATTCCGACTTCACTGCCACTATGCCACCGCTAGGTGCCATCATAATAGAAATATCTCCATAACGATTTAAGCAAAAACATACCTGTAACAAAAGCTGACAGTGAATCAGATGATGGCGAAGACAAAATATGAGATCCGATGGATCCGGAAACGCGAACGAGTTGGCTAGGTCATGCACTGACTTATACGTCTGCAACGACTTTGATCTTCTGGAGAATATTCGAAACACTTTGTTGGTTTTCGAAATTAGGCGACAATGTCTCGCATGGGCCTGCTTTACTGCGGCATGCTGCTGTACTTCCCAGTTTTCTTTGC